GACAATTAAATAGCTGCCTCAGTTTGTGCTTTGTCCCACAGCTCCGCTGCTGCTTTGGAGGTTAGATAGCAACCATCACGCGGTGCTTCTTACCCAGAGCAGTGCGCCGCAGACCGTCCACCGCAGTCCTGCAGGGTCAGACCCACAGCACTGGTAAGGGTCAGGGGTTGTGTCATCATTAACCAGCTCCTAAAGCAAACGTGTTCTCCGGCCCCCAGCACAGAAACCTGCAGGAATTCCAAGCACCTTCTCACATATGCTCCTGATAGCAGCTCCGCTCTGAAGCATCCCCAGCAAGTCACTGGAAACCCAGAGATGAGATAAGTCATCCAAACAGCAGAAACAGTGCACACACAGCTAGGAGAGGAGACTGTCCTCAGCCCCTTGAGGTGAACACTAAACGGCAACCAGAAATCCTCCATGAATTACTGAGTCAAGTTTAACTACAATGTTTTGGAAAAAAAAAAGCCGAAGCAGCTTTTCCGTAAGTTGCACAGAGAGGGTTGGGTTCCCCCCCCACCCCCATGCCAGGAGAGCAATGATACTGCACCATTCAGATCCCCTCTATGCTTGTCAGGCCAACGTAGGGTGCAGAGGTACGGATCCACCACACCAGCAGGAGTAGCTTTACACTGACGCAGCATTTCAACACGAGCACAGGGGAAAAATGCTGACAAGCTTGAAGGGGCCTGGACACAAAGCAGGAAGAGAATAAAAGAACTGCTTTCAAGTTCAAGCTTTTGCTCACCCCACTGGGTGCTCTTCTCGACGCAGAGGACAGGATGGTTTATACATGAAGCGATGCGAGAATAAAATGCAGGTCCTAGTAAAGACAAATTCTGCTGTGTGATTTCCTGTGATTTAGAGAAACAGGGCTGATGGCACCCCTGGGGTGCTCGGTCTCCCCCTCTGCCCTGAGACCTGTCCTGCTGTGCCGTGAGCGTTTGGCTCCCAGCTCCTTCCTGGGCAGGCGTAGGATGCTCGTGCCTACTTGCTGCCATCCTGAGCGTCGCCGTAAGTGGCATCTGCTGGATGCTTTTAAGCTGTGAATTGCCGAAGGGAAATGTACAACTCGCATCTCAAGCCTGGGTAGTGGGTGACAGACTCAAACCCCTTTGATATAGTCATTACCCTCAGTCAAGTGAATTTAATAGGTCTCCCTGCAATCCTTACAGGACAGATATCCATGATGCTAAAAACCATTGCAAGAGAAACCTTCAAAATTAGCAGCACAGGAAGATTGGAAGGGAGGTTTATTTTTCCAGCTGCACTCAGGAGGGCCTCTCCAGGACAGAGCTGAACCACCCTGGCTTTTCACCCTTTTGCCTCGATCGTAACTGTTTGGACGATAAACGCTAGCCTATCTTTAGCACTGGCATCTCCCATGTTATTCCCTTTGAGATGGAGCAGAAAAATGTTAACAAAGAACAGTTGAAGAGAAACTTTACTTATTCAGCCTAACCGCTGGAATATGGCTTTTTCTCAAACACGATGCTACGACAGAGTCTCAAACCCTCTTTGTTCTCTGTGTTAACATCCACATGTGTGTCCTGAAACAGAAAAGGGAACATGGCTATTTTCCCCCTTCCGGGAAGCGGGTTCCCGATGCTCTGCTGCTGGCTGGCGCAGCACGGCCTCCTGTGCCCCCTGCACGATGGCAGCACAGCTGCACGCTGAAGCAGGGATGGGAAGGGCGATGGTAAATGGCCTGCTATTAATCCCAGCTGCTAAACAGAAGCGATGAGCGGGGAAGAGGATCATGTGCTCACAGCCTCTTGAAGGCTGTAGCTTCGCGTATGACGGGGATTTGTGGCAGAGCTGAAAGCAAAGCAAGACTGAAAAGCAGCCTGAAGCCTGCAGCACGGGGAGGAGGCTGTACAACCTCTGGAAATCTTACGCAGCTCGTGAGCTCTCTGTGAACATTATGCAACATTTAGGCACATGGCTGCAGGGTTCCCGTAGATGTTTCACACCCTTTCGCAAACTCAAAACTCCTGGATTTGTAACAGCATCGGGAATTTGTTGAAGAAAATTAGCCCAGCTGCTGGTAACTGATTATTTCTTACCAAGTCCAGTTTGCCTGGCTGAAAGCTGTTCTGGAGGTCAAGTTGCTTTGCCTTGTACATCAATGATGTGTATGTACGGCGCCTACGCAGAGAGCAGCCACGGGGGTCTCCCCTGCAAAGGGAGACAAGCTGTTCCACAGACCGCATGTGGGGACCGGTGGGGTGGTTTAAACGCTTTTTTACAAGGAGGTCGGGTCAAAGCCTAAACCTGTTTCCTTACTTGCTGAATTGCACGCACGACCCTCCTCTGGTGTTGGAGGTCAGCTGGCTCTCCTACTGCAAGGGATTTTTTAAAATTCTTCCTGTACTTATGAAAGTTGGGGAAGGACCTGTCCAAAACCAAGTCGTCCCCCCCCCGCCCCAATTTTTCCTCAGCTTTAAGCTGAGAAAGAAGGGCTTCAGTTGTGGCCGGAGCCACCACCGCGCTCCTCATCTGCCGTACTTCAGTGCCCAGTGGGTGCAAGCCCGTGCTTGCCAGCTCTAACTTAGGCACCCCATTCTCCACCTGCACCACACTCATCTTCTTCCTCTGCCCCAGCCCTTACCTCCCCCCATCAGCTCACAGCACGCTCTTTATCCCTGTTTAGCAGTATGATCGCACATCAAGCCAGGACACAAGGAAAGCTGTGACTCCCCAGAAAATTTTAGCACAGGGATGTCAGTCAGAGGCTACAGCTCCTTACCCTAACAATACCCAATAACTGGGAAGTGTCAACTGCCTGAGGCTTGCCTCGAAGGAGGATGCTCCCATGGGATTACACTACCAGCACAGGAATATTTCAAGAGAACGGAAAGAATACAGGGATGAGATTCCCGGTCCGGGAATTTGCTCTTCCTTCTGTAGGGAGCTGCAGGTGCTCCTTGGTGCATGCACCATGGACAGTCTTACAAAATCTTACACATGCCTGCACACACACGCACAGAGAAGCCCCACGTAACTTCACGCCTATACCCATCAAAATACCCTTGCTTTTCAACTGCAAGAAAAGCACATCCACAAAGTTCTGCTTGCTCTAGTAAATTCAACTGCATCATATCCAACTGCCAAACATCTCCGCAGCACTGAACAATTTACCGGTCAGAAGGGGAAGGGGAGAAGACACCAAAACAACTTGGATGAGAACAGAAAGTATACACACACTTCTGCGAATGCACCAGGCTTGCCCAGTGGCATTAAGGTTCTCAGGCACAACCAGTTACAAACACTCCTTAAACGCCAATTCAGGTTAACAGGAAGCTCTTGAACAAGCAAATAAGGCGCCTAAAATCAGTCTAACTGGCTCGTTTCATTAGCATGCACCTGACAGTATGCACTGCAAAATCTCTCCGAGCAGCATCCCCGAGGAAAGCATTGCTGCTTCTGCGTTAGCCGTCCACAGCCTTCAAATCCCTTTGGCCTTCAAAGGGGTAAAGGAAGCCCAAAGAGAGCAGTTAGACCCCTGAAAGAAGGGCAGTCCGGTATGTACTGTGCAAATATATCAGATTTTATTACTCTTTTATGGAAATAATAACAGACATTCAGGTAGAAACATATTAAATTAATGCGTTCAACAGTTTAAATGCAAAAATAAATATAAAGTCCAGCAGCTCAATGCATCTAAAACAGCTTGTTTCTTCTAACGAATAGAAAAGATTTTTTTTTTTTTTTTTTTTGTCTTTTAGACGGAGAGTTTCATACAATCGAATAGAAACGAAGGTACAAGCGCTTTCTCAGAAAACATCCCGACCCGGCCGCCCGCCCCGGGCGCTCCCG